TTGTGATGCAAATTGGATCACCGGTTCAACTGATTCGAAGTCCATAAGTGGATATGTATTCACAATTGGTGGAGGAGCGGTATCTTGGATGTCATCCAAACAAACATGTATTGCTCGCTCTACAATGGAGGTTGAGTTCATAGCCTTAGATAAAGCCGGTGAAGAAGCTGAATGGCTCCAGAATTTCTTGGAAGACATTCCATTTTGGCCCCAACCGTTGGCACCAATATGCATACACTGTAATAGCCAAGCGGCAATTGGAAGGGCTGGGAGCGTTATGTATAATGGTAAATCTTGTCATATACGACGAAGACATAAAACCGTTAGGCAACTTCTCTCTAGAGGAATTATCACGATTGACTATGTAAAGTCAAGTGATAATGTGTCGGATCCACTTACAAAAAGCCTAACTAGAGAGGTAGTTGAGAAATCATCAAGGGGAATGGGGCTATGGCCGAGAACAAGTCATTGTGGCGGTAACTCTACCTAGAAGACTGGAGATCCCAAGATCTAGGTTCAAGGAGATCAAACAAAGTCATTAATGACGGTTCAACATTGTCAAAAAAAATTTTAGTCCATTCTCGTGATGAGACAATGTTCAGTACCAAGGATAAAGCATTAAGGCTTTTTAATGATTTCTAAATTTGATACAGGGTATATCAAATAGTGTATCTACGGGATGACACGTTTAGGAATCACCTATGTAAGTGTGAAGTGTTAGCCGCTTCAAGGAGAATTTTGCAAGGCCAATTCTCTACGCACTTATGAAACCAGGCAGTGTTCATGGCTGAAACGAACACAACAATGAGAACCAAAGACGGTTAAGGGATTGATTGTGTGACTTATGGTTGTCTAGGTATACACTAAAGTTCGACGGTTCAAAGATATCAAATCTACCGATTGACCGAGTATATCCGACATAAGTTCACTACGGAAAGTTCAAAGGGAAACCTACTTATCCAGATGCAATTAATTCTTGCTTGCAAATCACACAAGTTTTTCATGCATACTTCCGTGATATAGTCATTCCCCATTCATGTGGGGGATTGTTGAGTTTTGGATTGTTGAGTTTTGGATTGTTGAATTTTTGTTTAAGATGAAATAGTCTTAAAATGAGAGTGAATGGGAAATGGGATTTGGATTTGGATTTGATCAAATGATCGATCGATTGATTAATTATTTGGACCAAATTTATTTATTAATAGTGAATATTAACGTGATATAATCCGTGTTTGTAACGGATATTTTCCAATGCGTGTATTGTGTTGCACCAAGAAAGCAACAAGATGCCTAGTGCATCTCCCACCATGGCCAAGTGCTCCTCCCACCAAGCAAGTGTTCATTCCACCATGTAAGTGTTTCCTCCATGATATCCTAATGCCTTTTCCACCATGGAGGGGGCGGATTTCTCTCACATGACTGCTATAAATAGAGCAGAAGTTGTAGAGAAAGAAGAACACACTGAAAAAAAACACTCGAAACACTCAGTATACAATTGATATACACTCTGTATACACTGTGTATACACTGAAAAAACGAATTGCAATCTGATATCCTCTTCAGTAAGAATTCAACATCGGCTATACATTGCATTCCTTCCTCTCAGAATTTCCATTCGACTTCTGAGTTCTCCTTCCTTGTTCTGCATTGTTTTAAAACTACAAACAAAGCAACTGTAAGTGTGATTTGCTGCCGAACTTTGCGTTCGCTGAAATACTGGGGTTTGAAGTACCGCTACACCAGTGTGTAATTCGTTCTATCCTGGGAGGAAATAATCCACAACCTTGGGTACTAGGAGGGGATTAAATTCCTTAAGGAAACACTGTGAATTCAGTGGGCTCGAATTAATTTTTGTTTCAGTTATATCATTTATATTTACGTATGTTACTACTGTAGGTAGTTAATAAAGAGGATAATATATATCTAAGAGTGGAAAAGTTAAAACTTGATCTTCCATCATTCCATATTTATACCAGATAAGAAGTACTATACAGAAAATAACAACAAATTATTATATATAGTTTAACTTCTAAACATTTGACAGGGTAATAAAAGTGAAATCCTTTTGGTAAAATCACTGCATGGTTGTACTATTCATCAGATCCACTTAACATGGGATTTACCACCGTTCCAGTGAAAAGTACAGACCTTGTAGTCTCTTCTCTAATCATGAACAAGAAGGGGTGATCAGCTACAAATCTTTTTGGAGGACTTTCGGACAAACAACATCCCATATCATCATCTTCTGCAAAAGTAACAGCAGCTGCCTCAGTACCTTTCTCATCAATTTCTACAAATGCTTTCTGTATTATCATGGACACATATAAAGGCCCTCCATTTTCTACAATCTCTGTTAGGTCCATGCAAGTCTCGTCGAAAGGTAGTGTCATTCCCATTTCCTGCATTGTGTTTAACCCTTCTTCTGTGGTGAATGAGAATTTGAACTTTGGAATGTAAAATGCAGCAAGGTTTTCGTTCCATAGATGAAAATCTTGTGTAAAGAAGTTTGGAACAGAGTTCACTTTCTTCAATAAGCTTGGCAATCCATCCTTTGCATTAGGAAGGAAGAAGCATATTGAGAACATTTTTTTGTCATTCTTCCCTTTTTCATAAGGAATTTTCACTGCTTGATAACTTTCAAATGATCCATATGTATAATTGTCACAACCAGTCATGAAGGGAACTAAAACCTTGTCGCCATTGAGTAGGTAAAAATCTTTGTCTTGAGTGAGACTTTGAATAAAATTGTCTTTCCATGTACCTTTAAAATATAAGGCGTTTCCAAGTAAGAGCGTTGCATCTTCGTTGATATGCTCGGGCTTGAGAACTTGTTCAATAAGGCCCTTTGTTGCTGACTTGGCCCATGAGTTAGCTTCTTCTACCACCTCCTCCTGCATGTTGTAATTCATTATGCCCTTCGGCCTTCGTTTCTTTAATGAAAAGCTTTATAGCCGTACAAGTAAAAAAGTTTTATAACCAGACAAATATTATATAATACGTTCAAGACTACAAATTTTAATTTTTTTTTCTTATTACACTTCGTACCTAATCAAATAAATTTACATAAATTAAAATGAAAGTAGTACTTTTGCCTGCATACTTTTCTGGAGGGTCAAGAATTATTCTTATATAATTTTGAAGTTTCAAAGTTACAATCTTTTCAAGGGATATGATGCGACATTTTCTAGAATAAGATTATGATATTAAAATACCTCACATTAAATTTAAGCACATTTGACATTCTGACACTACCTAAAGATAGGGAATAGCATGTATGTGGTCCCTTATGATCAATAAAAACCTTACAACAATAACAACAACTCAGTATAATCTCACTTAGTGGGATCTGGAGCGGGTAGTGTGTATGCAGACCTTATCCCTATTCTGGGGTAGAGAGACTGTTTCCAAATAGACCCCGACATCCTTCCCTCCAAGAACTTCCCACCTTGCTCTTGGGAAGACTCAAACTCACAACCTCTTGGTTGGAAGTGGAGGTTGCTTATCATCAGAGCAACCCCTCTTATTAATTAGTTAATTATATTCTGGTTAGAAAATTTTAATGGTCGTAAAACGATAACTTAATAGCTGTGGCAAAAGCACCAACAATATTTATAGTAACTACTACAATTATAACTTACATTGGGTAACAGGAATATAAAGAGTAACGTCTAGTGACAAATTATAACTGAATGAGTATTAAATAAGAATGGGAAAGAGAAAAATAGGTTGCAATGCACGTGTCTTTTAACTACTAATTGTAGTGGACGTGTCTTTTAAAGAATGAGAAGAATGGATAACTAAGAGAGAAAAAATAAGAGAAAAAGGCCCCCCTCCCCTCCACAAAAAAAAAAAAAAAAAAAGCAGAGACCAAATATACTTTTGTACTAAGAAAAAATATTTAAATATATACTTCGTTATATAGTGGATTTAAATATGTTCTTGTCGTACTATTGATTCAAATATACCTCTCATTTGTTAAGTTTGTTTAAGGTAGACATCTAATCCTCTCTGACACTGACATTTGATGAGGTGGACCTCAGCGCCCCTAATTTATATATACAAGACTAAAACTTGAAATACAATATTTTCTATAATAGCGATAATGGTGACAACAATGATGGAGGGAAGGAAAATCTTAGTAGCGGAAAAGAAATAAAAGTGATGGGTAAAATAGGTTAGAGGCATTGAGATGGCAAGCCATGTGACATTCACCTCATTTATCCTCGTGTGCCACATAATTGTAACATGCCGGCCGTTTGCTCAATCCCTACTTCCGAGATATAATTAATTGTAAACTGATTGACTCTAATCACGCTATTCTTGACAAAGGCATAAATCTTTCTGAAACAAGAAAATACTGTTATTTACAAAACATGAAAAAGAAGTACCTTTCGCTTAAAATCAACATTTTTTGCGGTTGTCTTGTAGACATTCTTGACTAGTTCTTGATAAGACTTTTTGAGACGAAATTTTTCATCTATCCAAAGTGCACTAAGGAAGCACAGATCAGGACCCCCATCACTATTGGTCGTCGCTATAGCCGCCATATCTAAGAAGTTGGTATTCAGATCATCGATATTCTCAACTGCAAGATATTCATGTTGAAGTTTGGCAAAATGCCAAAGTCCCACATTGGTTGGGAGTTAAGTTTGGGGGGATTTTTCCCCTATAAAAGAAGGCCTAATGTTTAGGATTGAAAGACACCTCTCATTTGCCTTCTCATCTGTTTAAGGCATTTGTATCTTCTCTCTTTAGTATTATTTCACTTGTATTTTTGGAGTG